GTTTAAAGCCTTCCCAAAAGTTTTCTAAAAGCTATTCCCTGCCCACTTTCCTCTGTTACTTTTTTCCTGATCTGCTCTGGAAATTTTTCAGAGCCTCTTTTTTATCTCTTGTAGTTAGAAATCATACAAAGAACACAGTATTTGCAGATCTTTTAACCTGTTTGTGATACTGATTCTGTGTTTTGGATTCTGTTACGTTGGAGACTCTCCTTAACTGTGTAGTGATTCTCAGATATGTGTTCCCATTGGATACTTGCTTTGAAGAGCCACTGGGGATGGGATGAGATGGGGTAGTGGTCAAGCTAACAAGCAGAATGGGCAAATAACTGATTCTGGGGGTTAATCAAATATCAAATTCTCAAGGATTTTTCCTCTGGAACAACCCAATTTCTCAAAAGATGTGAGTTAGTAGGGCTGGCCCACTAGTACTCAAGAAGCTGGGAAATGAAAAAAAAAAAAAAACTGTAATTCTTCCAACTCAGTATTAAAATATAAACAATCCTCCAGATGTCAATATGTCTTATATTACTTCTAACCCTAGACCTAGTGCTCCCTGCACCAGACCCTTCACCAAATGACATATCTCCCTTTTAAGGGAGGGAGGTTCAGGTCATTAGCTAGACACAGAAACTGGACATACCAAGTAAATTGGGTCTGATGGGTAGGCCAAGAAGTCACACTTTTAAACAGCTGTTTTCCTTTGTAGCAACCCACATATTCTGATTAACTATAGGTACATCTGAGTGATTTGTCACTAATACCCAAGAACAGAGATTTTACCTTCTATAAGCTAAATCAGTTTGCACTCACTCCTTTCATGTGTCACACCTTAGAGTTGAGTAGCTTGAAGCTCAGAGGATAGACTACTTGTTAAGCATGCTCAACCCTCTGGGCTTTAACTTCAAGACTAGAAAAAGAAAATAATGAATAAATGTAGCTTCACAACACTAATAAATGTATATCCAGTCTGTTATTCCCTTCCTAGGGTTGATATTATATTGATGTCTGTAACCCTAGCACTGGAGTGTCTGAGGCAAGAGAAAAGTGAGCTCAAGGTCATCCTGGATTATATAATGAGACAGTATCTCAAAAATACAGAAAAACAAAAACACAATAAAAATAAATTACATGTATCTGTTTCTCCTTTAAGACTATTGCAAGCTTTGGTCTTTAATTTACTAGTGAGATCAACCAGTGAGAAGCAGTGTCAGATGCACTTTCAAACCCAAAGGACCCCAGAGCCCTCTGCGTGCAAAACACTTTTTGAGGGCTGTTTTGTTTCAATAGGGTTTCTCTGTATAATGTGGTGTTTCTTATGAAATTCTGAGGCTTCTAGCACATTTCCAACCAATAGCTGATCAATTTCATCATTACCTTGTGCTACAGGGCCTGGTAGATCATATAGGATCTGGTATGTGTTACACACAAGGGATGATTTCTATTTCTGATTACTTGTTATAGTTGAATAACAAATTAATTGTGAATCATCTGGAATAAATTCAGTAGTTTCAATATGTAAAACAACTCTTTCTGCATATTGAGAGTCAGTAACTATGTTAAGAGGTTCTGAAAAATCTGATACCATGAGAATAGCATATGACTCTGACTTTTGAACAGAATCATAAGGGCTTTGAGCCACTTAAGATTCCTGACTTATAATCTGCCTTTCCTGATTTGTTTGCATCGGTATAGAATGTAGGAGCTCCAGAAATTGGTGTTTCCCGAACAAAATTACAGGTATTAGAACAGTTGGTACAGTATCGGTACCCATAAAGATGGCTGCACAAAGACAGAGTTCAAAGCTGTCCTCAGCATGTCGTAAGACCTAAAGGTCAAAGGTGTGGCTATAGTAGGGTGTTTGGCTGTCTTATTCTAAATAACAACAGACCTGGTCTGAGGTGTGGCTACTCCTGATCCTCAAGGATAGGGAACGAGAAGTTGAATCTGAGGTGTGGTTACTGAACCCTTAGAATAAGTGAGGAAGAAAAGTCTGTTTGTTCCACATACATGATAGATACCACATTCCTCTTTTTGGTTAAGGTCTATAAGAGCAGTGAAAAATAAACTCGTGGCATTTCACTATTAACTGAATCTCCCCTCCTGACTTTTATTCTGTGTCTCTGTCTTTTCTTTATCATCTATAGCTAGCCTTTCCCTCATCCATACGCCCATACTCAGGTAAGAACTTGGGGCTGCTTGACTGGTTTTGTTGTAGCCCTACAAAGACAGTTTCCGACAGTATAGGGGCAACTAAATGCTCAACATATTGAAGAATGGACCTGTCCTTGGAATTCTCCTATATTGTCTTTAAAAAAAAGAAAATCTGGAAAATAGAAAATAGCAACAAATCTAAGAGTTATTAATAAGGTATTCAACCAATGGGTCCTTTACAGCCTGGACCCAATTAGTTCTCTTTATATAAGCTAAAGCCTCCCAATTTTGGGATATTTATAGTTAATCTCCCCCCAAAAAAAATTACAAGCTTTTTGATAAGGTTTGTTTCCTATCCTGGAACTAGCTTTGCAGACCAGGCTGGTCTCTATCTCACAGACATCTGCATACACACACACACACACACACACACACACACACAAGTGCTAGGATTAGAGGTATACACAACCACACCTGGCTGGCAAAACACTCATATAAAAATTTTAAGGTTTTTTTGTTTTGTTATGTTTTTTGAGACAGGGTTTCTCTGTATTACTTTGTAGCCTGCCTCTGCCTCCCAAGTGCTGGGACCAAAGGCTTGCACTACCAACATGACTTTTGACAGCAGCAACAAATACATGCTCTGATGAGGGGTGGGGGCAAGCTATTGTTCTAAACAGGAAAGGAGTAACATGAACATGAATTATGTTGGTGGGAAAAAAAGGCGGGGGAGCTACAACTATCATCATTACAAGGACATGAAAGGCTGATCTTTTTTCCCACCCATTTAGGGGCTTTAGAAACTAGAACATCAGCTTCTTAGTATGAAATGGGGCCGGTCATGGAAGGAGTCAAGAACTAGCACACTCCTGGTTGTCTTAAGTTGAAACTTCAAAGTGAATTCTTCATCACAATGTGTCTTCCCCCTGTATATGGTACACCTAAATGCATAAGGTTGGTTTTAAAGCACCAGGCTGCTAGACACAGGGTAGAGGCTAGGAAAAACCATTCTGAAGGACATGGACATTAATGCTATGAAGTCAACCTTAAAAGGCAGGAAAGGGAGAGGGAAAGGATGTCCCAGAAGATTCTGCTAATTACCAAAGAGCAGTGCTGACAATTTAAAACGGGTGGAAAGTACTAATAGCTCCTTCACTAATTTCTACAGTTTCTATCAATACAAGTAGACTATTCCCCATGAAGTAACGGAGCTATTGATATGTTCTTTCACACCTTTCTCAAAGGAGTCTAGTCTAAAGCTCAAGAATCCCAATTTAGACTTCCAACTCAAAGAAAGTAGGGCATATTATAAAGCCTAAGTGACCACTCAATGTAACTCTCCATAGCTCATTACTTCTGTAGAGTTGGAACAAAAACAGATGAGACATAACATGCCTCCTTGATTTACTTTAGAAATGCTTTGACCTCAGAATAACCATTTTCTTTAGATGTTCCAGGTTATAAGCTAGCCTGTCTAGAAGTTCTCCATTGTAGGACCCCAAGGCACCTTGAGCTTGCCTGAAGCTGTTGGCCAGAACTCTTTGCCCATTCTCTTCCCGTGACAACACATCTCGTGACACACACCTCGTGACAACCATACCTCGTGACAACACAGGGAGGAGCTAAGCCTAAAAATTCCTGTAGTTTTCCACTGTGCTATAAGTCGGTATTTAAGCCCGTTCTTGCCCCTCAATAAATGGCATTCGGCATTTGGCATTCTGACATTGCCATTGAACGAATGACCGGCAGTCTTGTCTTTATTTCAATTGCTAGGCCTTCGCCCGATTCATGGAAGAGATGGTAGCGCGGGCGCTACACTCCATGGATACTCCTCTATGAAACAGATAATCCAGAAAAGCTGTCTTTCATTCTTTCACTCAGAAAATTTACTATATACCTATTATATAACAAGCATGCTAGCAGGTACTAGGACTACAATGGTGAAGGAGACAGGCAAGGTCCAATGGGGGAAAGAAAATTAGAAATAAACACACCTAATTTTAGGTCCAACATTCAATGGTACATGAAACAAAGTGGCTCCAAAACGGGGGAAAGGAAAGGGCATGAGATGGTGGCTAGATGATCTCTGCCATCCTGAGTTTTAGTTTTATAGCAAATAGAATTCTCACCACATCTATTCAGCTTGGCTAGCTCCTAGATAAAATCACAGGTCAAGGTATCACTCTCAACCACCCCTTGATCATCATACTATTCTGTGTTAACTCTTATTGAGTTGCCCACGATTCCTATAAACCATGCCTTTACAGGTACATATGTAGACTATTCTCAGAAGTGCATGGTATTACAGAAAATTTAAAAAGTTAGGGTGTATAAACTTTAGAAGCTAGAAATCATTATTATGCCTAAATTGAAATAGGAAGGGAGAAAACATGTTACAATGGCCTAGTCAAAGTTGGGGTCATGGGAGAAAGACCACCCAAGACCTCTAAGGTGTAAAGACTCAGCCTGTGGCACCTCCTGCCCTCCACTCTCAGGACTAACTTCAGTCTGAATTCAAACCCACCAGTACTCAGCAGAGATCAGTCAGTCTTCCAGAGTAGAGACCAGAGCCATGAAATGCTTAGTCAAACAAACTAACCAGCTCACTACAGTTCACTGTTGACAACAAAAGTGCTACCTTTTAAACTTTACTAAGAGATTGTGTGCATTTTGGTAACATTTTTTTTTGTTTGTTTGTTTGATTTTGAAGCTACTTCTAACACTATCCTACACACAGAAAATACTCATTACCCTTCACTAGTGGCATCCCCATGGGTTACAGGCCAGCCTGCCTGAACAGGACATGAGAGTCACAACCCATTGTGAGGACACATGAGTTGTTTCTCAAGTTCTAGAATTCCTAGAGATTCTGACTCAACACTGGGAGTGGCTGTTCAGTCTCTTCTCAGCTCTTGAGTGTGCCACACTAGAGATCTCTCTTCTCCTAAATCAAAATGAAGGAGTTAATCTTCCTGTGTCTTTATCTGCTTGGATCTGCCAGAGGTAAGTGTTCTCTTTAAACACAAACCCTAGATGTACATGGGGGGGGGGGCTTCTTTTAAGGTATTTCTGCCCCCTTCAAGGAAGACCAGTCTTAGTTACCCAAAGCAACTTGACTTGGAATCAAGAGTTAACTAAGCAAAAGCAACTCTAAGCACTCCTATACTAACCAATCTCTCCTAGTTATGGATATACAGGTAAAGGGCCCACTGGCTCCCACATCTTTCAACACTTCTGACTGGTGAGACAGCACTTTACCAACACAACTCAAATCCCTTCCAGTAATTTTTATAGATTGATTTTGTGCTGTCATCTTCTAGTTTAAAGTTTACCCTAGCCAAAGATTAAAGTTTTCTACTGTTTGAGTAAAACTGCGTCCTATCACCAGAACCAGAAAAGCTAACCTCAATTTAGGATGAAATTACTCAGCATGGAAAGCTACTGGTGCCAGCAGTACAGAAGGAGAGAATTTCTGCAGTTTGAAGCCAGCCAGGATTTCATACCCAGACCGTGTTATGGAGGAAAAGGACCATTTGCCTTCTCTCTTCTCCCTCCCTATTTCTAGTCTTTTTACCTCTCACCCACAGAGATTTGGAAGGATTTTTTTTTTTTTTTTTTTTTTTGCTTCATCTTACTTTATTTTAATTTGTCATGTTTGGTTGTTTTCTCTTAGAAACCTGTTCTTGTCTATTTTTTCCAACATAAAATTTTTGTTGATTATTTTGGAATTTCACTTCATGTACTCCAATCACACTCACTTCTGAAGGAGTCTTTGATTTCTGATTCGAGTTTTGTTAGGTAGGGACATTTCATTTCCCTTCATGTGCTTTTTGTGCTTAGGTATGAGAATCCCATGTGTACTTCTTGTGTCTTTAAGTCTCAGAAGTGGTCTCCAAAGTTCCAAACACTTGTCTTTCCTGATCTGGAGTACAGATGACTTCCCCCAACATCTAAACTATCTCGTGTAGACCAGCCAGGAAACCCAGCAGTCCCACTGGCTCCACAGGAGCTCAGGCTTGATCCCACTCTTCCATCTTTGCCATTCTATCTCTTCTCCATCCTAGGAGCGCCTCCAGGTCAGCCTGATGAGCTCGACTCTGTAGACCGCCAAGCTTCTGTTCAGCAACTTTCAAGTGAGTATTTCTCACTCGCAAACCCTTCGGACGTCGAGGCTTTATACGAAACTCCTTCAGGTGAGAAAGCTCTGACTGATCATAGTTCAAGCGAACATGAATCAAGTGAACACACTTCAGGTGAGCATACTTCAGAAGAACAGTCTTCAGAACTTATATCAGGTGAGCACATGTCAGGCCAGCATATTACAGGAGGGCACATTACAGGAGAGCACATCACGGGCGAGCACACTTCGGGCGAGCACACTTCGGGCGAGCACACTTCGGGCGAGCCTGCAGAACAGTCAAGTGAAGCAGCTTCAGAAACGTCTTCAGCCGAACAAGTTTCAGGTGAAAAGCCTGAGGAAGTGGAACAGGTTGCTAGCGAGGCTTCAGGTGAAAAGAATGAGGCTATGAGTACACCATTTCCAAGCTCATCTTCAGGTAAGTGCAATGGAAGGGTTTGTGACTAGAGGCTGAGGCCAATCTGGGTCTCAGTTTCAGGGAAACCTAGGCAACCGAGCAACACCCTGTCTTCAATAGGGAAGAGAAGAGAGGGGGACAGAGGAAGGGGAGGGGAGAAGGAAGGAGGAGGGGGGCATATCAGGGACTCAATTTTTGAGAAGCAGTGTAAAAGAATCATTGATATGTCACAAATGGCTCTGTTGAAGATCACAGTATCAGGAAATATTTTCCAGGTCCATGTAGCCCTAAATGGAACACGATTTGGAGAAGCCTCTTTTAAGAAAAATAACTTCAATATAAAGTACTATTAGACTCATTTTTCATAAGAACTTAATGAAGGATCAGAAAGATGGCTCAATGGTTACAGCTGCAGCCAAGCTTTGACAAACTGAGTTCAATAACCAAGGCTCACATTGTAGAAGGGAGCTGACTTCCAATTGTCCTCTGATCTCTATATATGCCCCATTCACAGTAGAAAAAAAAAAATCTAAAGTTTTATGTTTCAATTATTATCAGATAAAATATTTCATTTCACCCAAATGTATTTATTATTCCAAATGTCTAGATGAGTAAGCTAAAGTGAAACTATTATCCCAATGTCAGCCACATTTCTAGAAAGTAGTAAATTAAATTCAGGTCTGCTTGAAGCTTCTCTGATTCTTTATGCTTCTCACTAGAGTTTAGCACTAGAGATAGCATAAGGATGCAGAAGCATTCAGAATGTTGTCACTGATCAAGGTAAGTCTGAAAATAGAAACTGCCTGGTTCGTGTCTGTTATTTCACTACTTGGGAAGCAAAGGCCGGGTTGGTATGACTATGAGGTCAGTTGGACTAAATACTCAAACCTTCTCACACACACACACACACACACACACACACACACACACACACACACACACGAGGGAAAGAGGAAGGGAGGGGAGGAGGGAGAGGGAATGGAGGGAGGAAGAGGGAGGGAGGGAGGAGAGGGGAGGGAGAAAGGAAGGGAGGGAAGGGAGAGAAAGAAGGAGGGAGGAAGGAAGAAGGGAGAGTGTGGAAGGAGGGGAGGGAGGGAGGAGGGGAGAGGGAAAAGGGAGAGGGAAGGAAGAAGGGAAGGAGGGAAGAAGGAGGGAGAGGTGAGGGAGGGGAGGAGGGAGGGAGGGAGGGAAGGGTGGTGGGAAGAAGGAAGGAGGGAGAGAGATTAGTTAAACTAGCCCCAAGTGTGTTTGTCTTGGGGCGCATGAGAGTATGACAGAGGTTCAGTTACCTAAATTTTCTCTTATGAAATAAAATGCGGCAGGGCATTTACTTACAAATTTAAGAAGCCAATGGGATATAGACTAGAGTTAAAATCGCTCAGATAAATTTAGTATTCGTCAGTAATAAAGATTACAACGAAGTAAAAGTATTCTGATTCAGAAAGGGGAATTCTGATTCAGAACACAGCAGTCCACACTTTTAATCCCATCACTGGGCAATTAAGCAAGGACTTGTTTTCAAAAACCAAAAGGAGAGGGAGAAGTTAAGAGGGTGGGAGGGACTGGAGTTGTAGCTCAGTGGCAGAGCACTTGCCTGAGGCCCTAGAGGTTCAATCCCCAGCACTGCCCGAAAGAACTAAGAAATAAGTTTACCTTTTTCAACTCCCACTCCCCAACTCAACTAAGTGGTCTGTCGGGGAAATCTCATCAGCCTTTTCTCAAATTGCAGGGGCAGCAATAAACTGCCACACATGTGCTTATATGAACGACGATGGAAAATGTCTTCGTGGAGAAGGAGTATGCACCACCCAAAATTCCCAGCAGTGCATGCTAAAGAAGATCTTTGAAGGTTGTAGAAACCACCTGGGATAAGCTTGCCAGAGAGCACATCAACCATATTTTAAATAAAAATGGGGGGTGGGGGCTGGGGCAGGCAGTAGGGATCAATGAAATGGGGGATTCAGAAGACTTCAAGGATTGAGATTCTAGGTACTCACAGGCTCTTGTGGGGTGGGTAAAAGGAAACTGAAAAGAGGTTTTCTTTGGAATAATGAAACCTTTAAGTTGTTCCTTAAGCTACTTACATACTGACTATACTCAGAACTGTCTAGTTTGTTCATGACTATATCTTCTTAGGACACTGCACAATGTATAAGAAATGGTAGGCATTTAGTAGACCCTGAATAAACTAACCAACAACTGTCTCTAGACCTATGTGCACAGGGTAACAAAGCAGTGTATAATCTCACATTTCCTCAACACTTAGTACTTATCTCCAAACAAGGGATCTTGGTTACTTCCATTCCTGGAACCACACAGCCTGGCTCTGGTTTATCTGACTGTTCTCCCTGTATTTCTATAATTGTACATTTAACCATCATTGAATAAACATCAACACAAACTTCAAGCCTTTCAGAAAGATACATCACATACAAAGTGTACAGAGAGGCTGTGGTCTAACAGAAGAAAATTACAGAGAAAAGTGGCGAGGCAAAGTCTTCTCTCAGTTCCTGGGAGGCTACACAAAAAACCATGTGTAAAGAAAGAGGGCAAAGCACAGGTAAAGGAAAACAGCTAAGTCTGGAAAGGAGAGGGTCTTCTTTCAAGAAAGAACTTGTAAAATCCATTAGTGTACCCAGTTTGGGTGACACATTAGAATCACTCAAGCAGCTTTTTCAAATCCTAATGTTCAGAACCTGCAAGATGGCTCAGTCAGTAAAGGTGCTTAGCCACCAAGCCTAATAACATGAGTTATATAACAGCAACACACATGGCAGGGGAGGAACGACTCTTACCAGTTGTCCTCTGACCTTCACACACACACACACACACACACACACACACACACACACACACACACACACACACGTTAAAAAACACTAAATAAAAATTCTAATGTTTGTCTTGTACCAATGAAATACCAGAAATGAAGAGAACTACTGATTCAGTCACTGTGCAGAGACATGCCAAAAACAAATAACCAAAGCCAAATCAGTGATAGAAGATGTAGACAGGAAACACAGCCAAGTTCTTTCGCGTTTAGCAAGTAGAGGAGTAGAAGAAAACAAAGAAATGTTGATTGACCAAAGCAAAATCATCTAAGACTCTCAAAAGCAGAGTAAGTTTAGTCAGGAAAGCAAATACACTTCCATTTGGGACAGGGAAATTTTAGTTGTACTGTCTGCATGGAAAGGGGATTTGACTTGGGTCAGTAGAGATAACTGGACTCAAAGAAATAGAAGACAGAAAATTGGGAGAAACCTTGACAGAAGAAAGGGGGAAACAGTACCAACTTCATGCAGAAATGGTAGGGGGAGGCTTAAGAAATGGTTATGGAATCTGACTAAGAGAATTTTTCTAGTGCAACTAGAGTGAAAAGTTTAAATTCTGAGTAGCTGGGGTTCAGATGTGAATGAGAAGAAAGTTAAGGATGCTACCAGCTCGCTAGGCTTGTAGTGAAGGATAATTGCAAGTGTAACATGGTCAAGAGAAAATAGTGAGCTTGATGAAATTTTACCATGAGAGGAAGAAAATGAAAGCATAAACAACAGGAATGGGCAGCTGGTAAAGAAAGCAGACAAGAGGAAAGGAATAGGAAAATAAGCACACAGAAGTCCTGGTAACCCTGCATGGAGACACTGGGGACCACGGATAAAGAGTAAGGTTGGGAAAAGCAGCTTTCTGTTAATGCCCCTCTGACTTTTCTCCTTTCAGGTGGAAAACTCCAGTTCATGGTTCAAGGGTGTGAGAACATGTGCCCATCTATGAACCTCTTCTCTCACGGGACAAGAATGCAAATTATGTGCTGTCGGAATGAACCTCTCTGCAACAAGACCTAGAAGACCCTTCTTGCTCTGACTCAGGCAGCTTCACTACTCTACTTGGCTCAACTTATGGTCATCTTCAACTAATTATATCTATCTCTGCCTGATCAGACAAGAAGTTCAACCCTTATCTTTACTAATACCCCATTGCCTATGTCCTTTGCTCCTTCCTTGCTTCCCTCCCTCCCCAGATTTTCTTTTTTTTTTTTTTCTTCCTTTCTTTTTTTTTTTTTTTCAATAAATTCCTACTGTTAAAGAACACAGGCTTCAGTAAGATTGTTTTTCATCAGTCTAATTGCACAATTGTTTCTTTCCATAACCAAATAAGTGACTATTTTGCACAATCATTTATGAAAGCTGAAGAGGTCTCCTAGATTAGATATAATAGGCTAATACAAAGTACACATTAATCTTCCATGGATCAATAAGCAATATGTAGGTCTGTCCCCCACATCCTTCTACTTGTAGTACATACAACTCAATCCTTTTGTTTTTGAGGTTTTCAGTCTTCAATAGTCCACTATGAACACAATGAAAACAAAATACTTTTCATTTAAGCAATTCATAATAGTTAAGTCATTTTCAGGGGAGAAAGTGGAATACTGAACTGTCCTTCACCTTAAGGTGTTTTCAAGTGCATGGTTGCTCCTTATTCTCAGGAAAGAGACAGAGGGTAGTTAGAAAATATAGCATCATCCTTCCCCTACAAATAAGGAAATGTGACACATAAGATTTATTATTTATTTAGACTCCACATTATTACAAATTGACTAAAGTTACAGAACTAGTGAGACCCACAGCTGGATTCCAAAACCAAATCTGTATGACCTCAAAGTGAGTCTTCACATTAAATATCATAGAGCCAGTGTTTTTGCAAAACAAACAAAAAAAAAAAACCTCCCTTCCTACACACATCTTTTATCCATCACTCCCACGTGATTGAAGGCTAAAGATCAGCTGCTGGTCTTATACACTGCAAAACAACAGACTTTAATTTCAATAAAATAATTTACCACATTTTAAATATTAAAGCCTTTGTATCATGCTTTTTATTTTTTTCCTTTTCCTTTTAATATTTTATTCTCTAGTCCAAGCTAACCTAGAATTTACTATGTAGCTCCAGGCTGGTCTCAAATTTGTAGCAATTCTCCCGGCTCAGCCTCCCATATGCTGTCATTGTAAGTATGAGCTATCTACCATACACAAGAACTATACTTTATAAAACTGTCAGTTATAGAACATGTAAATACACACACAGATGTGCACACACATATACTCACTCACTCTTAAAAATAGCCCTTCTCAAAAACCACCTAATAGCAGGTTCCATTGATAACAAATCTAGGCTGAAAGAAATTTTGAACATACAATCCTATCATAGATCAAATGGAATTTAAAACTTATGGCCTGAAACTAAAATGTAAAATTCTCAAATCAACATATGGTGTACTGTTGGGGACCATCACCATCCTCACTACCTCAGGCCTCTGAGATAGAAAATTACTGCCTCTTAAGAAGTAAGCAGAATGTTTAGCAGAGCATTCCTAGATACAGGCTGTGGTTTTACAACCAGTTAAAGACAGCTCAGGATAGTCTTCCTGTTGTAGCTTTACAGCCAGTTAAAGAAATAGCTCAGGATATTCCTCCTGCTACAGTTTTACAGCCAGTTAAAGATTAGTTCAGGGCATTCCTTCTACTGACCCTTTCATTCTGCCCACTTGCAAACTCCCGCTCACATCCTGGTCCTATCTAAGCCTCCCCTGAGAAAATAACGTTTAACAGTTTGATCAGAATATGGACTTGCTGTTGCTGTTCTCCTCCTTCTCCCTTGCCCTTCGATTCCCCTAGGTGTCTCCCAGTTCCTCGACTGCCGGCATGTCGTTGCAGAATTGGCGCCCAATGTGTGATGGCAGAGGACATCTAGGAGAAGAGGAGGATCCTTCCAGAGTGTTCCACAGGAGGACGGCCTCACTTTCTTTGTAGGTGACCCGCCAACAAAGAAAGATTAACCAACCGTGGTGGTGAGCAAGGACGCAGATCTTATGGAAAAGTAAGGGATGGGGTAAGCAATTTCTCAGAAATGTTTCTTTCCAGGCTTAAGAAAAAGGACCTTGAAAACTACTTTGATTTTATGTCCCTAGTTTCAAGAAGAAGGAACAATTGATGAAAGGACCTGGTGCAGGGTTGGAGAGTGTTTTCAGTACTATTACAGGGTTTTGGCCCAGAAAAGATCCGTTACTGCCTTCAGCTATTGGAGCCTAATTCAGGATGTCCTTTAAGACAACCTCCCAATTGGTCTCTGAGGGGGAATGATCCTTTAAGGACTCCTCCTCTCGGCCCCCTTTAGTAGCTGAAACAAAGTTTTCCCTTGAGGAAGGGCCTTTTCAATCCAACCTCCCTCCCCCTCCCTCAGTCATTATCAACATGGGAGACATTATTCAGGAAGCCCCCAGCCCCAGATTGGCACCCCAGCCAGTTCTGCCCAGACCAACCAAACCTTGTAAAATCTATCCCTCCCTTTCCCCTCTGCGAAAAAAGACTCCCATAACAGGTTCAATAGAGTTTAACAAAGGAGAAAAAGACAGAAATTCTCTTATTTTTGTGGTTAAAAATAAATTTTAAAAATGGAGATTAATGTAAGATTTGAGAAAAACTATTGGAAAAAAAGCCTAAGGGAACTGCAGCCCTGTTTGGCCCCACCTAGAAAGGTGTCAGTGAAAATGCAAATGAGACCATGTCAGCTAAGGAAGGCTTTACAGGTCAGATTAGAAAAACAATTTTCAGATATCACTTAGTCATATTTTGAGTTTTCTGTGGATTACATTTCATAAACTATTTACATTGATGGCAAAATTGTAATTTAGGGGGTATTTTGTCTTTCTAGGTTTATATGAAAATGCATTGACATCCTAAAGAAATTAGGCCTCAAATATTAAAAATTAAAGATAGCTTGTGATCATTAAATGATTTCCAGAAATTGGAAAATATTCAATAGTCATGTTTTTCTTTAAAAAAAAAAAAAAAAAAAAAAGGCATCTACTGGCAATTTAAAACCTTTAAGTGATATCCTTAAAGGAGATAATGATCCCAGTTCACCTAAACAGCTAACTAGAGAGAGTAGACAAGTTCTACAATTGGAGAATACAATCCAACATCAATAGATATGCTATATTGAGTATGCAAAATCATGGGAGGCTTATGTGCTTTCCACACAACATAGTCTGACTTCTTATGGCAAAGGGGGGACCATTGTTATGGTTGCATTTACCTATTTCCTCAGCCAAAATGTTAAATCCTCATTTTAAAGCAGTAGCTTGTATGGTACAAAATGCTGTATGGTGTCTAAGAGATATTTTGCCAGAGAACCAAGAACAATACATGTTCCCTATACCAAATAGTAAGTTCATGGTTATTTCAAAACCTTTACAACCAGCAATTAACAGGCAAAGGAATGTTTACTTAGGTGGTGAGGGGTTATCTCCCCTTATCTGAGAAGTTCCCTTTCTCTGTATAGATATAGGGCCTAAGTTTTCAAGCTTTTATTAATTATAATTTTTGGTCCATCAGCTTTTGCTCTGTGTTTAGAAAAAATTGATAATCAGTTTCCAGCTCATAGACTGTTAACAATTTGTGCTAATACATCCTTTTGTATTCCCTAAAATTGTAAGGGGTAATCCTGTAAAAAATGCTATGTTAGTTTCTCCTGATGATTCTTCTAATGGAAAAGCAGCTTATGTTATTGATGGAAAAGAATATGTACAGTACAGACAGATTCAGCTTCAGCTCACATAGTTGAGTTACAAGCTGTTGCAATAGTTTTTCAACTTCTAATAATTCATTTAACTTATATACTGATAGTCATGTTTTCAGAGCTCTTCAAGTTTTAAAGACAGTTCTGTATATTGGAACTAGTAATAATCAGGTTAAAATGCTGTTTGAGAAAATTCAAAGTGCCATTCATTAGAGAGTCACCGAGCTTTGTGGGTCATATAGAGCTCATTCAAACTTTCCCAACCCACTGGCTAAAGGTAATGAGGCAGCTGATCGACTGACAAAAATGGTCGCTTTATCTCAGGTAAAATTAGCTCAGCAGTCACACACTTTCATCATCAAAATAGTAATAGTCTTAAAACAAACAAACAAGCAACAACAACAAAAAAGCCAGTTTGGTTTAACTACAGAGACTGCTCGACAGATTGTTAAACAATGTGATGTGTGCCCACAATATTTGCCTGTAACTAATATAGGAGTCAATCCTCAGGCCTGCTTCCTAATCACTTATGGCAAATGGATGTTACTCATATTGCAAAATTTGGCAGATTAAAGTATGTGCATGTGATAGTCGATATGTATTCAGGCTTCTTAATGGCCACTGCACAAACTGAAGAAGCCACTAAGCATGTAATAAGTTGCTGTTTAAAATGTTTTACTTCATGGGAGTTTCAAAAAATTATAAAGTCAGACAACGGATCTGGATATACTAGTAAAGCATTTAAACATTTTGTGCCCAATAAAAAATTAAACACATATCAAGCATTCCTTATAATTTTCAAGAGCAAAGAATTGTGGAACATGCTCATAGTTCTTTAAAAATGCAACTTATAAGGAGAAGGGAGTCCTGTCCCCCAGTCTCCACATGATACATTAAATCATGCACTCTTCATTTTAATTTTTTTGAATGTGGATGCCCATGAGCAATCTGTGGCGGACAGATTCTGATATGATGGAACTCAAGAGACTTTTACTCAAGTCAAATGGAAAGGACCCATGCACTAGACTATGAAAGGGGCCCAACCCTGTCCTAATATGGGGTCAGGGGGGTCGAGGGCATGTTTGTGTTTTCTTGCAGAAAGTAAATGAGGCCCAGTGGCTGCCAGACCATTTGGTGAGATGTGTGGAACAGAGGAAAAGCGGACCTGAGACCCCGGGAGCATAATTACCTCTTCTCCCTCCCTCCCTCTTTCTCTCCCCCCCCACCCTCTCTCTCTCTTTCAGTCTCTCTCAGGGGCCATTCTCTAGAA